TTAGAAGGGAAGCTTGGTTTAAATATTGCAACATCGGCCAGGTTTGTGTGATACCACAGGATCAGTTATTATTTGGATGAAGTAGTCCATGCACCTCCAAAGGCATTATTGTAGAACCTCTAGGTAAGACATCATGTGACAATGACTTTTGAAGCTACAGCTCCTTTTGTGTGTAGTTATGCAGTTATTATTTCTCACATTTCCCCCAGTAGGAAGGATTAGAAGAAAGATGAACTTGATTTCTCTGCAGAATCCCTATCACATCTGTTTGCTTTTGCTGGGGATTTTCTAGTAAGGCCTGTTGGAATAGTATTGACCCAAAGATCAACACTTAGGAAGACACAGGTTTAGGTATATTTGACACAAAACATCTTCAGGTTTGAACTATATCTTGAGCTACAGACATGTGGAATCACTAGACAACAGTGAGACCCAAACAAAAATGTCCAAACTTGCGGGGTGGGGACTTCCCAGACCACTCATTTTGACTCTTGAGTATTTACTACACAAGTAGGACCCACCATAAAATGTTGCAGTGAATGCTCACATTCCAACAGAAGAACCTTTATTCAGTGTCTTTCAAATGATGCCCCCAAGCACAATGCTCAAATCTATTTCTCCTCTGATTTTATTTTGGAAACAAAATATTCCACATATCAAAATTGGGCTTTTGGTGCCGCCCCCCCCCCCCCCCACGTTTAGCTTTTTATGAAACTTTTCTTACATCCCTGCAAACCTTGCAGTTCCCTCAGACATGTGACCGCATTTCAGCTATATGCCTTTTGACACTCACCACCTGAGTTTGCTGTTACAGGAGTGAAGCCATTTAATGAAGAGGCATTTTCCAAAAAATACATATATGTTCATAAGGGGAGAAACATCTTTTTAGAATAATATTCAGTATTCTTGGCTGACTCATGACACAGGGATAAGAGGAACAGAGAGTACATTGCTGGCATAATTATAGCTGCCTTTCCTTACAAAGACAAACACTAAGTCCAAATCTTAATAAAATTGTTGTAGCCTTCTCACTAGGTACCAGGAGCTCATGAAAACCTAGAATTACATACTGAAAATCAAGGTGCTACATGGATGGATCCAGGAGAATCCCAAGCCTATGCAACTGACACAGAATGGCAGCAAAAACCCATCCCTGCAAATGTGGACATGCCACAATCCTATGTAAAGCAAGGTTAGGAAGTAGGATGGGGTAGGCATGGAATCCCTCCCACTTGCCACTCTAACCCTCTTAGATCATCCTCCCAAGTCCTCCCCACGCCTACAGCCAGATTCTGTTAACTTGTGGTGAACCCGCCTAGGATAAAAAGCACACAGAAGGCAGAGAAAAATACATAATCAGAGAATGTTGACCCATATCAGTCCTATTCAGATACAAACAGGCAGGTGTCAGTGCACTAGATGCACAGTTGCCACCTATTTGTAGCATACAGTCAGCAAATCTTCCCTCATGCTTGTGCTTCTTTTGCAGAGATATCTATTTTCCAATACAGATATATTGCACAATTGTAAAACAAATGGTGTCCCCCTATCTGTAGAAAGAGGAACACAAGATTTGAGCAAAAGCTTCCATATTTTATCAGCAGAAAAGCAGCAGCTTTTTAGGCAAGTTCTTATGGGAAAATGGGAAACCCACCAAGTTGCAAGAGCTTGTCTCCATTACAGCTGTCCTGCCTCTCATGTAACACAAGCAAAGGGTCTTACATGTAGGTAAGAAAGAGATTTTTATTCAGGCAGGCAAGTAGCAGTAGAGGCTTGGCATTGGACATATAGTTCAGGAGTCACAACTCAGGAGTTCAGGAATTGGACATGTTCAGAACTGGATTGGCACAACTGATCTCCTAACAGCTCCTATGCCTTGCCTTCCAAACTTTTAAAGTTGAGGTGTGATGTGCTCAGTTGCCAGATTCACTCACAAGAATGTCAGGATTGCAAATGCACACTCCTTTGTGGCAGGTAGCACCTGTTTCTAAACAACAATACTGTACTGCACTCACTTGTCCAGGCTCTTAATCAGTCAATGCTGTCTCCAAGTAAGTTCTACTCAGAGTAGACCCACTAAAGTAAATGAACCTAAGTTAAGCACATCATTAATTTCAGTGGGTTTACTCTGAGTGGGACTAGCACTGACTACAACCCACTGTTCTATTCTGCTTTGGTCAGACCTTACCAGAAATACTACGTCCAGTCTTTGGCATCATAGTTTAAGGATATGAGAAAACTGCAAGGTTTTCAGTGGAGGACAACAAAGATGGTGAGGAGCCAAAAGACCAAATCCTGTGAGGAATAGTTGAAGGAGTTGAATATGTGTAGCCTGGAGATTATTCAGAGATGGTGTGATAGGGCTTCAATATTTGAAGGGCTGTCAGATGATAGAGCAAATTTATTTTCTGTTACTCCAGATGATAGGGCAAACCCATGGGTTCAAAATATAAGCAAAAAGAATTTAGACAAAACCTTAGAAAGAACTTCCTGATAGTAGAAGCTGTTCAACAGTGGTGGGTTCCCTTTCATCACAGGTTTTAAAGCAGAGGGTATACAGCCACCCAACAAGAATCCTGTAATAGTGGGGCTTCCTGCATTGGACAGGGGTTGGATCTTTGAAGTCACTTCAAATTCTATGATTCTATAAAGCAAATGAGTGTCCTCAAAATTATGGTCAGAATTGTTGCCAATCCTAGCAGTATGGCCAAAGTGTTAGTATTTTGCATTTATTCTTTTCTTTTTAAAATTTTATTTGTTATTTTCATTATTACCATTTCCAAAATCATACTCCCATTCAAGCATACATTTCCACCATTAATATATTTCTTTTAATAAAAACATTCAATGGCTTCCCTTCTTCCCCTTCCCTGGTTCCTTTAATTTCCCTACCATTCCTACATATTCTTATATATCCATTTAGATCACTTTCTCCCCTCATTCTTCGATGCTGATGCTGATGCTGATGATGTATATTATACTGTGGAATTTACCTTAATGCTGCTAGCATTTTCACTTGTTTACAGTTATTTTCCAAATACTCCACAAAGTTTTTCCACTCCTCCAAATACTCCACAAAGTTTTTCCACTCCTTTTTATATACTTGATTTATTGCTCTCTTATTTTACTTGTTAGACCTGCTAACTCGGCATATGTATTTTGCATTTATTCTTATCTAAATGCTTCTTGCCAATAGCACAAATGGAAATTGCATGAACTAATTGTATGAACTAATCCTTGAACCTTGTGATGGGAATTTACTTTTAGAAACACACTCCTGCACGTGGCCTTTGTGCAATATATGTATATATCTGCTATATTTGCTGCTTTGCAGACCTTCAGGGGAGGGGGGGAGACCGAGTATGCAGATTTTGTTTATAAGCCCAAACAAAGCCCTAAGTGTTTGCTACAGTAACCGTTATACCCTGCATGGTGCTGAGTACTTAGACACAAGACAACACAAGAAGCCAAGTATGAACGCTTTATCCTTGTATTCAATAATTCAGTAAACCCGGCCAGAGGATTTCTCACCAGCTCTTTATTGCAATTCAGCCCAACACTTTCCCCCCTGAAAAGCCATAGGTTTAATAAACACACAGGGCTTACCCTTGAGCTCAGCATGGATCTTCAGTAAGTACTTTATGACAGATTTGCCACTTTTTTTAAAAAAAGAAGTAGCAGAAATCCCAATTGTTGGAGCTGATACTTATATCAAAGCTCCTCACCTCTAGGGTTTTATGTGCAACCTCTCAACTCCCAGCCTTGGAAATTGGGGACTGAACACATCAGAAGTGCAGAGAGAGGGATGAAAAGACAGCTTTCCCTGAAAGAAACTAATCATGGCATTCTATTTAGTTTGTTTATTTTGAGGTTTGTTTGTGTGTGTTTTTTAAAAAAACAAAGCAGAAATAAAACAGCTTTTATTAATAACAAATAATCTAATATTAGCTGTTTTTATCACACTTTCCTTTAATCACAGACAAAAAGCCTATAGAAAATAATCTTACTTTTTAATGAAAAAGTTATGCATACATGCCAGTTTTCATAGGAAGATACTCACCGTTTGCTAGAAGGCAGGTTTTGTACCAGGGATATGTGCCCAGGAATGTTGGGTGACTGCTATCTAAAATCTACATTTTATTCTTGGCAACATTAATTTACCCAACATTAAACCCCATTGATTCTATTCAGGCTTGCTTATTTTTAAGTAGACATATATACTGTAAGTGAACTGCAAATATACTATAAAAGAATGTTTGGAACAGGAAAATAGTACTCCATGTTGTTGTTGTTTTAATTTATTACCCTTCATCCTAAGGTTCCAGAGTGGGTTACAACAATTAAAACACACTATTAAAACTGTTTAAAAGAACTTACATTCACAAAAACAAACACATTGTTTGAAATAGAATGTATTCATTCATATTCATGCCAATAAGTGTTTCACCTGCATATCTATCTGTATGCTAAATAGACATTAAAGGCATAGAAGCCTCTTACGTTTGACATTTACAAAATATACAACCTCTTAAAATATAATAACTCCTTTTAAAAGAACCCTTTCCTTACAGCAGAGCTTTCCAAACTGTGTGTCATGACACGTTAGTGTGTTCGCTGCTGTGTGTAGGCATGTCGCACAAACGCTCCCCATGCTCCTCCCAGGGCTGGAAAGAGGTTAGTTTAACCTCTGGTTTGCTAGTAAAACTGGATTACTGTGTCGCAAAATCATGCATCTCTCAAAAGTGTGTCACCAACATGAAAAGTTTAGAAAGCTCTTAGAGTCTTGAAAATTTGCCACCGTACTTTCTCCAATCACTTGCCCTCTTACAGAGCTATCCTGAACCCTGAGAACTGTGTTGGGGTTGGATACAATGGAAGCGTCCCTCCACTAGACTCTGCCAGCAGGGCCCCCACTACTGCACAACCACTGCTTAGGGCACAATACTATGTCACACTTACACCAGCTAAGCAGCATTATGAAGCAGTATGTCATTCTGCCTACACTGATAAAGCTGGGTGCTCTGCTGGCAAAGCTGTTCTGACAAAGCAGGCAAAGAGAGGGTGGACATGAGTGTGCTGTAAGTGATGCCACATCTTAAAGTCCTGCATTACTTCAGAAACACCCACAATGGCAGGAAATCCAGTCAAAGGTACATCTCTCAGCAGAACCAATGGAGTGAACCTTCTTTCCATCTAGATAAAAAGGTAAAGGGACCCCTGACCGTTAGGTCCAGTCACAGATGACTCTGGGGTTGCAGCGCTCATCTCACTTTACTGGCTGAAGGAGCCGGCATACAGCTTTCAGGTCATGTGGCCAGCATGACTAAGCCGCTTCTGGCAAACCAGAGCAGTGCATGGAAATGCTGTTTACCTTCCTGCTGGAGCGGTACCTACCGTATTTTTCACCCCATAGGGCACACCTAGTTTTTTTTTGGGGGGGAATAAAGAAAAAAAATTATTTCCCCCTCCCCAGGCGCAGGGCTGGGGCGGGGGAAGCCCGAGCTTCCCCCGACCCCAGCCCCCAGAACAGGCTGCTATCCGCAAGCCTAGGGAGCCCGGCGGGAAGTCGCGCTGGGCTCCCTAGGGTTGCGGAGAGCTGCCCGAAGCCTGGGGCGAGCTCCGCTGCGCTCCCCAGGTTTCGGGCTGCAGGCTGCTGTCAGCAAGCCTTGGGAGCCCGTGGGAGTTCCTGAAGCCTGGAGGATAGCTTCCTGAAGCCTGGAGAGCGGTGTGCACCGACCCCTCTCGCTCTCCAGGCTTCAGCGAAAGCCTGCATTCGCCCCATAGGACGCACACACATTTCCCCTTCATTTTTGGAGGGGAAAAAGTGCATCCTATAGGGTGAAAAATACGGTATTTATCTACTTGCACTGCGTGCTTTTGAACTGCTAGGTTGGCAGGAGCAGGGACCGAGCAACGGGAGCTCACTCCGTCACCGAGATTCGAACCGCCGACCTTCTGATCGGCAGACCCAAGCGGCACAGTGGTTTAACCCACAGTGCCACCCGCGTCCCATTTCCATCTAGATAGGTCAATAAAATTGCACGAAAACTAAGCAACAAAGTGTTTCTCCTTCTGAACTCATAATAACAAGGTTCAGGCATAATAGTCAGCCTGGAATAGATATATCAGAGCAGGAAAATCTACCTACCGACCTGCCTCTTTTATGGGAAAATAGATGATAGATTCATCATCAGTTGTAAATACTCATGTGTTTTACCTATGGGGTGGACCACACATGTGTAATATATTTTCCTAAACAAATATGGTCTCTTTTTAGATAATAGTGTATGCATCATTACTCACGACTGTCACTGAATATGTTTAGCTATGAGTATACAGCTGGGCAGACATTATTATTATTTTTATATAAGAAAAATCACACATGGAAACTTCCTCTAATTTAAAAAAAACCTATGGGATTATTAAGCATTCAGTGATTTTCTATAACCAAGATACAAGGATCCTTTCTTTGGAGTGTTATAATAAAACATATGAAAATACTAAGTGGCCATTAACGCTTCTTGTTTCTCTGCTTCTCTGCCCCTTTTCACCACCCCATAGCATGTGAAATGGCCCTTAGGGCACATACCTTCACTCTTATATTTTATAGTTTTGCTTCAAGGACTGTCAAACAGGGATACTAAGATCCCACTTTCATGGGATACACTGGAGTGATAAACACCTACAGAAGTATTTAGCCATTATAGAATTGTATTTTATGAACTTTTAATATATGTTGTATGCTGTTGATAATTTTCAAGCTCTGAGAAGTTTTGCTTCCCCTCAAATGCATATGGTTCTGTTATACATCTCACCTGAGGCATTGTAAACCTCACAGAGGCACCTCTGTCTGTCTCTTACTTGGAATGTAACTTAATGATTCACTGTCTTGCTTTGACTAACATGTCAGCTCAGGGAATGTGCCTCTCATGATGGCAAGAATGGTTTAACCTCTTAGGAACAGCAGATATCCTAACTCCCATGTCACAAAATCTACCCAGATGAGAGGAAGATATCTGGCCATTGCATCTCCACAGATGCTTTACCTCCACACAACAGCTGTCATTTCTTACTGCAGAAACAGTCATTTAGGGGCTGGTTTGAGGGGGAAATAGTATTCATTAACAGAATGAATAGAGTCTGCTTACATGATTTCGGTATGCTAAACTCTAGTAGTCCTTCATGGAGACTTTTCCCAGAAAGCTGCACAGTTGCATTGCATCACCTATCCTTGAAATGTGTGGCTTATGTTGAGTTTCAATAGTTTTAACATATCTATAATGAGAGGCATGCACTTTCTAGCTTTCACTGAGGCTCTGGGTGTACATGTCTCTTTCCCCTTACACTAACCAGTAAAAAGGGGAGGAGGGTAAACATTTTTTGCTCTTCCTCCTTCAGAGCTCTGGATCCATTACAATCCTTTGACCTGACAGATGGAGACTGGCTTCTAAAATGTTCTCTGATCATTTAACCAGAATTTGTTTGAGTCTTCTAGCTAATGCCATATATGTATACTACATCCACTCTGTACATGCTTCTATACCAGTTTTCTGTCTATCTTGGTATTTTTCGGACATGGCTCCTGCCATAAGCAGGTCATTCTTATTTTCATTTATGAAACAGGCCTAAGGGTTATTTGTGAATGATCTCTGCTGCAAATAAAATATTCACGGTTCTGTATTTTTAGTACCCTTTGGAAAATGTCTTGTGCTCCCTCTGCTGTTTTGATGGGAGCACTGAACTGACCAGATGTGCTACAGGAATTCAACAGCATAGGAGGTGTAACATGAAAACCTGTGGGCCGTTTGTTAAATACATCCGTTCACAAGGATAAATAAAAAGAGGTGACAGATTCAGTCGTATATAACAAAAAGAAAATGCTATGAAAGTAAATCTAAAAAGAATTAGTGGAACTGGTGCATGTGTAAGTGCAAACACACAAAAAAACAAATTAAAACATCAGGAGCTAGCAAAAAATACACAGTGGGTATAATTCCACCAAAGTGAAGCTAGGCTGCATTGTTTTTAACTGAAGATTTGAGCATGTGCTTGACTCTTTTGTTTTGAAATCATTTGGACATAAGATCTATTTAATAATATTTGTATAATGGCTAATTGCTAAAGCCTCTAAGTTGTTTACAAAAAAAACCCATAAAATATGTATTAAAATTGTCTATAAAAGTCAGAAGTCGAATATAAGTTGGCCTAAAAATTATTCCAAATATAAAGAAAATCAATAGTTAAAAATGAAAACTATCGATTAAAATACATGTCAGTTTTACATATCTGACTAGGCTAGCCTAAACAAAAAAGGTTTTAGGAGGCACAGGAAACAATACAATGAGGTGCCTGCCGTGTGTGTGTGTGTGTGTGTGTGTGTGTGTGTGTGCACAATCAATAAATAACAAATAATTGGACTGAAGTATGGGAGCACCAGGGCTTTTTTTTTCAGCCAGAACTTGCTGGAACTCAGTTCTGGTACCTCTCAGGTGGGCACTATTGCCATTATAAGAGAGCATAGAAGGCGTTCATAGTGAGTTCCTGCACCTCTTTTTCAAGAAAAATAGCACTGGGAAGGGCTCTATAAAATGCCTTGTTTCCATAAGACTGTTCACTGGCTAGCTTACATTTTGTAACGCATGCATAAAAGAAAATGAAATCAGAGCATATAGCCTGGCCAGTGTGGATGAGAATTCTGTTCTGTGCTTCAGAAACACTGGTTTCCAAACAACTGTTCAGAAGCATTTCATTTTCCTAATATCCCAGCACACCAGCCAAGGAAGGCACACATCCAAGCACACTTACAGCAGCTCCTAAAGTGCAATGGATACACATGCACACATTCTTCTAGAGTCTAGGCAGCTTTCCCCAAGTCCATGCCCCACAGAGCAGTTGCAGCAACAGTGGGACCAAGCTCCTCACCACCACCTTATGTACCCTTATCTGATGGGATGTGCACATCCAACCTGAGGCTTCTCCTACACAGAAGTCACCGTTCTCTCTTCTAGGAGACAGCAGAGCAGGGGATGGCAGGGTTCTGACTGGCCCACCTGCCTGAACCGCCTCTTCCTCTTCCTCTGACATGTCATATGCACCCACCTCCATCTCTGACTGCTTAGTTTACACCCTTCCTCTCCCCAACTCCTGCTCTGGCTCCTGCCTCGCAGATGGTGCCAAACCCCATAAATCGCTGGGGCCCTTTCCTATAGTGAATAATTTGTGCCTATGTATGCAGTTTGTGCCTATACATGGGTGGTCCCTTAATGTGTAAGACCTTGTGCAGATGTCCAGTACATGGACAACAGGGATGCCATGAGCAGGGCCAGACCTAAGTCAGACCTACACTGCCATGAGCAGTGTAATCCTAAGTCCCAAACACATGTAGAAGATGGGCATGTGCATAGGCCAAGTCTTTCAGAAAATGAACTTTAAAAGCAGTAGTTTAAGGCAAGATAAAATAAGCATGATTTCCCTACCAAATGGCTTCCTTGGTGCAAAATAAGAATAAGAGAGGATAACAGGAACTATAAGATTGAGACTTGCAGTGAAATATGAAAAAAAACACCTAATTTTGGAATGCAGAACAAATTACTTAAATGATAATCCCAGAATTACGTTTACTGAAACCAACAGATTTTAACATGAAAACAGACTACATATTTACATGTCCCTATACCACAGCTTTTGGCAATATCACCACGACAGTGATTCTTTTTAAAACAAGCTTCCATTGGTTTGACCTTAAGTATCCCCACAGCTGTGTGGATCACATCAAACTGCCTTTTAGGTCTTGTGCTATTCACATGAGACTGAAAGCACTTCTAACTTTAAAAGGTCTGAGTGAAAAATGGAAGATATCATATTGGTGCTAGTTCATAGTATAATATCATCAAGGGTCCCGAATTTTTTTGCTGCCCAAGAGGAATTAAAACAGCCCTCCAACAGTTGTTGGACTCCAACCACCATCGGTCTCAGCCAGCACAGTCAATAGTGAGGAATGATGGGAGCTGTAATCTAACAACACCTGAAACTTAGAAAATCTGATGGTTCAAAGGCTCTCAGTAACACCTCATTGAATGCAGGAGATGCTACCCAACTGATGAGATGCCAAGCAGCATTTGTGCAAAGTACAGGGCCTACACAGTGTGGGGAGCAGATTTCTCTCCCTGGACTTCTTAGAATTCAGCAGAATTCCTGATCTGGACCTTGTGGAGAAATTAATTCTCTGCACCACAAGAATGTGTTTCAAAGCTTTACTGCAAAACAGTAAAATAAACATTACAAAATAACTAAGCAACACTTTATAAACAAGCAATGAGGTTCAGTCCTTTATGCAGTTCTGTAAACCTTCCTCTCTCTGGTCCTAGAGGGAGATCCTAGGCTTGTTCATCAGTGCAGAACTTCCCTGCAACTTTTGTTGTTGCTGCTATTACTAGCCATCTCCAACAAGCACACACAGGCTTCTCAAGTTTCAGCTCCCCGTTGTGAAAGCTCTGCGGCTCATGTTTTCAGATATGAGCCATCAGGTAGATTATCTTACTCTAATGGAAAAATATCAACCTTCTCTAATGCTTTTGCCAGAGTGGAACCTTTTTGCCTAAGGTAAGAGTTCTACTATATATGAATGTGTAAATATTTACCTAGGGAAAATTATTTTTGTGAATACATCCAAATAATTTGGATGACCAGTGTCTGGGTAGTTCTTATATCATTGCAGGTATGATGCTACTATTCCTCTATGGGCTGAGGTTGGAGCTTTTGTCCAGCAAATGACCACATTACAACCACAGCTAAAAATTGAAATTTGGTCTGCTGTGACCCAAATGATTTCTTCTCCCCCTAAATCATGTTTCATTCCCCTATTTTGTTCAATTCTGGAAGTAAACACAGAGTTTTGAAAGAGGAGAAAAAGAATCCGCCTTGAATTTTTTGTAACAGAAGTAGCATCTGATTGATTCCAACAGACCATACTTTCCAATAAGTTACATTCAGGAATTTGGCCTAAAGCTGTAAACTTTCCTGGGAGCAGGCCCATAGGCCCATAGAACACATACCTGCTTCAGAATAAATATGTGTAGGATTACTCTGTAAACCTGTCAGTAGAGTCTCAAAAGACAAAGGACACCAATAGCATCCAATTACTCTGCTGGGCAAGGAGCCTCATTGAACTGGTCAGGCCCTGTGCCAATAAATGATTGCATCAATAGAGGTAGAAAGAAGCCTCACTTGTCCCTTTCCTTCCCCTTATTGCCTGCCTGGGCCTTTTCAAGCTGGCTTCTCCATTCAGAAAAGATTTTTCTATGACAGGCCAATGAGGAGGATTAAAGAGCAATTAAGCCCAATAAATTATCTTCCTAAAACATTTTTTAAAAATATCCACTGTGCTGAAGCAAAGTTACTGCCGCTTCATTTCCCCTGTGAAGGGGGATCAAGGCAGATCAAACAGCCTTAGACCTGCTGACGCGCCCCTCTTTTGCTTAACACAGGACTCATAGTGGCCTGCAGAAATCTACTCAGCTTCACCCACCCATTCACACCCCTGATCAAATTAAATCAATCTTCTCCTCAGGAAGGGATTTTGGCTTTAGAAAACACAGAATATGCCTTTAAAGTTAAAGAAGAGGAAGAGAAGACACCCCCAACACTCTTTATGGGTCAATTCCATAAGTAAAGCAGAAAAAAGAGCAACCACCTCTTCTCTTCTTCACAACTCCAGCTCATGAAGATTTCCTATTTTCTTTCTCATTAAGTATGTTTGTGTCTGCTTTTTATAATGTTGTCTGAGACCTTTGGGTAAAAACATGTAGCATCATATATATATCATCTACTGCTTTCCCCCCTCCACTGTTAATAAAAGTGTTTGGAAGTTTTATTAGCTGGCTTATGTTGCATATTTTGTACATCATTTGCAGCAATGGATGTCCCCAACATAATCTGTATTTCACATGGATGTTATTGGGACAGTGCACTTTAATAATGGAGCTTTTGTGGGTTGTCAGATAGTGGTCACACAACGTGCAGTTTGAAAAGAGGGGGGTCACATGAAGGGGTGCTATGAAATGTTTCAAGAGTAAGGTAGCAAACTCCAGCCAATATATTTTGGTGCCTCGGACAGAAGATCCAAATGACTCCCCATCCTAGTACTGACAAATACAGAACACAATTTACCAGACTGTTCTCCTGCACACACTTTGTTGAAATGAATGGAAGTTCTTTAAAATCATGGAGCTCAGATTGTGCACTGCAGCTGTTTGGAGTTGCAAAATTATCTTGGACCAACCCTTCTTGAAACCAGGTGAATATTTCAATATTCACTCAGATTTGAAATTGGAATTTGTGTTAGCTCTATCCATGCCCTTTTAATGCATGTTCCCCAAGAGACTGTCTGATAAATGAGTTTCCTGGCAGGAATGTTTGCTGAAAGATTAAATTTTAAGCAAATGTCACAAAATATTAACTCAGAAGTCATTCTTAAACTTGTAAAATCGACACAGGAAGCTGTACAGTAGTAATATAGAGGAATATATTGTGACCTGTGAGTTCAATCACTGCTGTCCAACACACATTTTGAAATAAAACAAAAAACTCCAAACCCTCTTACATAAAATTCCTCATACAGTAATCTGAATCCAGTGTAGTAGTCACAGTAACTTGTGTTAGTGTATCTCTGTGGCAAGAACTCTACCACTTACCCAGATCTATGACCTACATTGTGTAAAACCTTCCCCAATTCACTTGCATAAACAAGTTGATGCTTGTGCTAAATTTTATGCTGAATTTTAAAATAAAGCAGCTCTGCTGAGGAGGATTTGACTTCCTATGGAAACATTAAACTGGAATATTAAACTAGAGAAGAATGAACAATTGGAAAGGATTTTGCATATTAAAATTTAATTGTAACAGAATTAATAATACTAAGATAAGTCCTACCCACGTCTGCATTATTTATTTATTATTAATGTTATTATTAACATTATTAAATATTTATATCCATTATTTCAACAAAAGACTACAAGGTGAATAACAACCAAGGTATAACTATAAATTAATGTTTTAAAATCTCACTTATCAGCTAGTGTTAAAACAACAGCAAAAACAACAAAAAAGAGATTGCAACAGCAATCAAATTGCATAAAACCAGAGACAGCTGAAACCAGTTCAATTGTTTAAAAAAGTACAATATAAAAGCTTTCATAGGTTTTTCACCAACTTATAAAAGGACATTGCACAGTGGAAGAAGGTAGGGATTGAAAAATGAATCATGAGAACATTCTGAACTTTTGCATATAATAAGGTATTGGGGGAGGGGTTGTTGAAGTAATTTATTAGAAATGTTTCATTGCCGTAATCTCACTTGTAACTTCCGCAGGAAGGCACATTATGTAACCATATCCCACAACACAACCAAGGTAGCAGTTGGTGTACTTGCTCCTTAAGTGCTAGAAGCCTTCCTGGTTAGCACAACTATACTATGAATCGTGCTAGGATGAGTTTGATGAAGAACATGATCCATGATTAGTGGTGCAGCTAGGGATGGCCCTCGAGGTCAAAATCCAGGGCTCCTCAGTCCATGGGGGCCTCAAATGACCACCACAAATAAGTGACAGAGGTTAGAGCAGTGGTAAACATCAGCACCTGAGCCAGCATGGGCCTACCTTGCACAGGGACCACTGCTGATGGCTGCAGCATGCTATCATTTAAAAAAACAAATCATAGTCAAGGTGCTGAAAGTGGCAATAGTTTGGCAGCTCACTCAGTATGATTGCCTTCATGGCAAGCTATTTTTAGTATTCCCGGTTTTCCTGGCCTCTGAGGCAGGTCTTGGTGCAGGTAATTGCAATCCATTTTAGAATGATTTTGCCCTGAGCAATTTATTAATTTTTTTACTTTAAAAACACACTATAATTTTCTGCAACGAAACTGTACTCATTCCCAAATAAATGTACTTAGAATCAGGACAGCAGAAGCAGATTCCATTTTATTTCTGTAATCATGATGGTGCTGTGATTTAAGTGAGTTTAAAATGCACATACTCAGAATGTGACTTCATCTTTTTTTTTTAATCAGGGAAATGTTTTGTTTTGTATTTATTTCCTGCTCTAATAGCAGCTGTAAAGCATGAGATATTCAGAGAATTAATTAATTAATTAATTCACAATTGACATAATATGCAAGGCAGTCTAAAGAAGGGACTGGGAAATCTGTTAAATCCAGGGTATAATATTACCTCGTTGCAGCACTGGCCATTAGCGGTCAGCAAGTATGCTCTCCTGCCATAACTATAACTTATTCCACCTGAATTGTAAGGAAATGATATGATATCATTTGCAGACTGTAGTGGAGAATTTATTGACCCCTATTCCTTTGAATGACTTTGAGGGGGAGCATCTGCATCTTCATGTCACAGATACAGTCTCCAAAAAAGGAATATTAATTTATTTCTTTGCACCAATAGTTGAAGATATCTTACACCCAATTCTGCAGTAACATGGATTTTCCTTTTTGATATATATTAAAAAATGTTGTTATCCTTATTATCAAATAAATGTTATGCCCAAATGCACATGGACTGATTTTCTGTCTGCTAATTAGTCAGTGAAACCCTCATTTAAATTGGGACTTATCTATACAACATACATGTGCTACACAGATTAATACAAGAATGATGCCATCAAGTCAACTAAGAGTGCAAATTTAATATTTAGGGATGCAAGACCTGTTGAGTTAATTGCAGGGGACTGGGAAGTAAGGAAAACAGTTTATGAAGTGCTCCCATGCAGTATTTCAAGATATACACGCCCACTGGAAGAAGCAAAATTATTCTCTGCCCATGCTGCACCCTTTCAAAATCCCCACAAGGTAGACACTGGAAAGGGTTACTTCTTAATTGGCCTTCAGTGTTTGTGGAGCATGCAATGTCAAACATTCTGTAAACACAAATGTTATTATACCAAGCATGCTTTATGGAAGTCTATAATATTAAAGAATAACTATCTGCCTGAACAGCTTGGGGCATTCATCTGCGGAAATGTTTTGCCAAGGAGCAGACACACCTGTTGAAATTGTTTAAGACTAGAGATCAATAAGTGGGTGCTGCTTGAAAAGCCAATCACACTCCGGAGTTCCCAAGGGCGAGGGTGAGCAGAACCACTATAATGTAGAAATTGCACTGAGTAGCGCTATTTGCCATTGATTGTAGCAGAAGGTTACAGGGAGCAAAGAATCTTAGAACAAGTGGATCTTTTACCCAGACCCCAAAGTTTTCCCACGCAAGTTCCATTGGAAATGAATGAAAATGACCCTGCTTTCTTCACAGCTCCTGTTCCTTTCAAAAAGTCTTGCAAGGAGACACTGATAGATTGTGCCTTCTAAATGTAATAGTTTGCCTCGTCTTCTAGACTGCTGTCCTGTGAGAAACATTAGTTAGCAGAAGGATATGGGTGGCCTCAAGTGCCTAGGGCACAGTACTGAATATTATCAGGAGAGCTGGAATCTCTTACCAGCTTTGCCACTGAGATTATGTGCAAAGTTGTGTGAGCTTATTTCATTCATGATTATTAAATTCCCCTTGATCTATCTGATATAAATTTAAATTGAAAAGGGGATTGAGAATTAGTGTAGCCTTATTCCTCTCTCAGTTCAACATAGTTCAAGTTTACAGTGTCTCATTTCCTTCATTTCTCCCAGTATATTTTATTAATTCAAAGTAGTGCTCAAAATTATGCATGTAAGGCTTTTGAGTTACATAGAGTTCTTCTCAACATGGATGTTAAATAATGTTTTTCCCCTTGTGCATCCAACCTGATGAAAATTTTTATGTTAAGCAAAAGCTGGTGGAACACAATGCCATACAGGCAAGAGTTCCAACAGGATTTTTTAGTACCAGGACATTATGTGGATTTGGTCCTCTGACTACCCACAAAATAGGGTTTGGTTTTATTTGATGCTTTATTATATTTCTATGCTGCTTTTCATTCTAATGAATCCCAAGGTGGTTTACAAACTAAAATAATAATAACATGATTGAACATCATCATCATTGCTGTATACCACCCTATACCGGCAGGTCTCAGGATAAAATCACTCCCTGTTATGCCTCTGTCTTCATGATGGGGTACATATACTGGAAAGGGAAGCCAGAGAGTTATCCATCACCATACTACAGAAGTGCTGAGGGTCTGCATCCTGTCCACCATGGTTTTGTCACAAAAGCACTATTGGTGATGTGCTAATAAATTCAAGTCACATGGAGTGAAGGGTGTGTCAGAGGGGTATAAGAAGATATACTGAGACGATAGCCAGCAGACTCTGGCAACAATCATGTTAATGAAAAAGGTAGAGACATCATTGGACAGTCAAGAGGATTCAGCAAGTAAAAAGTTTTCCTGGAGCATGAAATATATTATACATTTAGTCATCTATGAGAGGCTGTTGGTTCACTCTTTCCTGCTTTGCTTCAGGTGTGTTTGATTCAAACCTATATCTTGGGTGCTTGTATTAAGGAATAGGTTGCATTTAATGAACTTGACTTGATAAATAGAAACATCAGTGCTGATGGATGAAGAGGAGTTGCACAAGCAGTTGGTTAATAAGATGCCACCCAGTTCACCAGCTGCTTCTATTGGAGTTGATTTTGTATACATGGGTGAAGGCAAACTTTGAGTTTACATGGGAAGCATAGTTTGGCATCCGTCTCAATGTTTGGCTTATTGGGAATGGAACAGTGGGGGGAAATGGAAGTGGGCAAGCTAAAAAAATATTAACAGAAATAATAAAGCTGCTGCTACATAGTTAGAAGCCTGAGAGAAATAAACCAATGTAGTTTGTTAGTGTTATGTGAGTGAAAGTGTCGTGACTCCGACTAAATAAGCTCCCCTTCCTTTTCTTGGTAAATATGAAGGAAGTACACTAATATCATTTTCTATCATTGGAGCAGTGGGTGTCTTGGCAGGAGAAGCCTGAAATGGCATGCCCATTAGGTATGGCTGGCATTTGTACATGACTCTTGCTTTGCACAGAATGACACTGGCAAAGTCTGGAAACAAACAGTGCATACATCTAATGTCAGTAATTCCCTTGGACAATCTAAATGCACATATTTAGGAAAGTAATATCCTCCCCCATGGAGTGTATTCCCTCTCAGTCTCCCTCTCTTCCACTCTCTCTCACACACACACCCTGAAGATCACCGACAATGAAATTGCTGCACTTTAGAGAGAAGAATGACGAGCAGTTTGAGTAACAGAAGTGAGAAGGAAAAGCTGCAGAATGCTAGCTGCATACGTCACACTGTAAATGTCATTCAGCACCTGGGGAGTCTGTTATTCTCTCAGGGCTTGCATTTGACACAGCAGGATTTCATATTCCAAGACTAGAAATGTGAGAAATCAGGACATTATTAGCTCGGAGAAGAATAGCTGAGTATTTAGAACCATTTGGATCCAGACTGACAAAAAGAAACATTTTTCAAAACAGCAGTAAATTTGCAGAGTGGCCAGAGCAAAAGGGTGGCAGTCTTCTATATATGCAAATAAATCCACAGAAATTACTAGCCAACACATTTCTTTGGTAGTCGTACCTAAAAGAAAGTAGATAAAATTCATAAATCTGAACTATCTTGACTGGTCACCTGGTGAGTGGATATTCATAAGCCTACTTTAATATATGTATTGGGTTAAGTTTTATTTAGGCCATAGACAATAATTAACAAGGAAAATATAATATAAAAAAATGATAAACAGTAGAAACCATATCTTACAGATTCTCACAAAGGGTGAAAAGCAGGTCAACAAAAAATTTATTGTAATTAAAGTGATCATAACAGCAGTTCACAACATGGGATTCAAGAAAAGCAGCAAGAGATAATGCCAAGGCATAAATTGCTGGCTTAAAGTAACTTTTGCTGATATATTTTTTTCTAGCAGAAAGTTTGACCAATTCTCCTTACTCATCAGCAGTGGTGGAAGTCATTTATATATAACTGAGATATGAAAGACACATTTAAAAACATAATGTATGTTCCTCGGTCCTGTGCAGCAAAATGCATAAATAACTTTATACGCAACATGGGCATTCTCAATTTCAAAACTACTGTTGAAATCAGATTATATCTTAATGGGGTAAGAATTCTTCTCAAAGTAACTAATTAGATGAGGACACTCTTCCAAGCAATGGGAGCATTTCAACATGATAAACCATAGTGCAATTGTATTGCTATTTATTGCTTCAGATCACATCTGACCTAAATTCCAACATGGCCATTAAGGACAACAAAATAATTCTGGGGCATAGCATATTATTGTACTTATTCCGTTAAACTCTTGCACCAAGCTGGCTGTTGGAATTGAAAGGATGACATTTTCTGCTTTAAAAATGTTTTAGGAAATTGAGTAGTATTGTGGATGCAAATTTTAACTGGTGCAACATATTCCTGCATGACAAGCTGTACCTGCCTAAAACCTCTCTTCTACACAACTGTTAAATGTTTATGCTAACCAAAATATCAATGGGAATTTTGCTGAAATCAAGATAATTTACATCTACAGCATTCCCACCATCTACTAAACTGATCAAAACAAAGTTTAAATTACTTTGGCATTATTATTTACAAATTCATGCTGACTTCTACTAACCACTTCATTGTTCTCAAGGTGCTTGCAGACTGACCTCTTTATAATCTTTTCAAGTATCTTCCCTGGAATTGGTCAGAATGAGCTGCCCATAGTTGCCAGATTCTCCTTTCCTCATTTTTGTTTGCAGTCCTGTGGCACTTTACCTGTTTTCTAGATTGCTTAAAGATGATAGTCAGAGGTTCTGACAGTATATCAACAAGTTCTTTAGTACCCTAGATGCAAGTCATCTGGCCTTGAAATCTTAAACTCATTTAAAATAGCTAGATATTTTTTGACAACTCCTTATTAATCTTGAACTGCAATCCTGACTCCTCAACAGTCATGCTATTATGCAGGTTAGCACACAATTCCCCCTTGGGAAAAGACAGAGGCAAAAATAGGAATTCAGCAATTCCACCTTCTTGCTGTTACCCATTAACATTTCACAATTCCTACTGAGCTACACACCCCATTTCCTTCCTCTTCTCTTACTCTGAACGTGCCCCAAAAGGCACTTTTTCTTGCCACCGTCAATTCTTTCTGAGCTTTAGCTTTGCTGACACTGTTCCAACAAGTCTAGGATACTTGTACTCAATGCTTTTTTTCTAGAAAAAGAGGTGCCAGAACTCACCACTCTCTTTTTATGGCACCTGAGAGGTGCCAGAACTGAGTTCCAGCAACTTCCAACTAAAAAGAAAAGCCTTGCTTGTACTCATCCTTGTTAACTTATCCTTCAGTCCTCTTCTCATGCATGTCCTTTTTATTTTCAGCTTTTTGTGCAGCCACATAGAATAGACTTTTAAAAAATCCTACATTTTTCATTCTCCTTGGAATTATTGGTGATTGTGCCTTTAGTAATTTGTTATTCGGGAACTGTCACCTGTCTTGGATTTCTTTTCTCATGAGTAGAAATAGCCATTTAATTCTACCTAGCATTTATTTCAGAATATGAAAATTGGGGGTTTTTTAGAACAAGCTACATCCTTCAATTGCTATTTTCTAATCATGTCCCACTAAGTCTCAGTTATGTGGATCAATTTGTATTTACTTTCTCATTCAAGAAGCTGAAGTTCATCTTGTTCATTTCCCATACTCTATGCATTAGCATAGAAGTGTAAAGCTTTGGATATTCTACTCTGATATCTCTCCTGCTATTTTAGCGTAGGGTTTGCTGGGCATCTCCTCAACTTTCCCAGTTTCTCCTGTAGCAGCCACATCCATAGATTTAGTGCTTCATTTTGTACTTAGCTTTCAGCTATTGGAGCCATCCCACACAGTATTTGATTATGCCCCTCTTGCTCAGGTTTGCCATTCTTCTGCCAGATACATTTCCCAAGGTGCAGCCTACCTTCCTTCTTTAGGAAGCTTACACAATAGTCCAAGAAACATGCTGCAACTTAGGAGAATAGTTCCCCTGAACTGTGATCTCTCTGTGTAGTCCTCTACCTTGATGAGAACTTTACCAGAGCCCCAAGATGCTTTATCTTCTTCCCCAGAACTTTATAGTCAGGTATGTTTTCATAGTAATCCCTGGTGGTGTCATTCATTCCTGTACAGATGAGCAAAAATATATAATGATCAGTGGGCTTGATAAAACTTGGTAAGTTATCAATCACATCCTGGGTCCCAATACTTGAGATACAGTATACTTCAGAAGTTAACAGATTCACTTGACACAGAAGACTCATCTCTCAGTAGGGAGTTCCCAGCCATTATTACCACCACTTTATTCCTCTTCCTGCATATGGAGATTGTCACCTCTGTCCTTAAAGGCTTGAGAGTCTTCCTTCCTAGCTAATGTAGCCTGCTGCTGCTGTCTTCCACCAGCTCCTCAGAGACACTGGAAAGAGAGATACAGTGGTACCTCGGGTTAAGTACTTAATTCGTACCGGAGGTCCGTTCTTAACCGGAAACTGTTCTTAACCTGAAGCACCACTTTAAGTAATGGGGCCTCCTGCTGCTGCCGCACCGCCGGAGCACGATTTCTGTTCTCATCCTGAAGCAAAGTTCTTAACCTGAAGCACTGTTTCTGGGTTAGCAGAGTCTGTAACCTGAAGTGTATGTAACCTGAGGTACTACTGTATTGTGTTCCAGTGGTTCAGAATGCCGCCTTATACTCATGTTCTTTACAGTCATGGTCTTCAATGCAGTTTCCCCAATCCTACAGTTCTCATTTTCTTGACTGCTTTTGTCCTTTCTGTAGTACCCCATGTCCTGCCCAAGAAGTCATTGTCTTCATAAATGAAGAATGGAAACTCATCACTGCTGTCTTCTTACTTACTCGCCCAGCAGGACAATCAACTGACATTTTCTGCAAGTGTACTCTATGCTGACAGACAAGAAAATAAGCAGAGCACACACATTTCAGGGCACCACCAAAGAACCCTCACTGTCTGTCTTCTTAGCTCTTCATCACATCTTAGCCTCTACCACTACTGCTGAAGTGGTCTTTGCTTCTTCCTTCATTTATTCTTTGAAGTTTGCCGGAGTTCCCATGATGTTCTGCTACTTAGTATATAATTTGCAGCATGCAACTATTTATATAGTACAGTTATTTATAGCCTGAGTTTCAGAATATAGCTTATTCCAATGTGGCTTACAAGAAACTTTTAAACTGTATTAAATACATAAACATAATGACCAATATCAACATATAAAAAGCCATCAGAATCCTTCACACAGGACTGTTGATAGTACATAGTATTTTGGGGTAGGAAAGTCCAGCTGGTGCAAAGTTCCAAGGTAGCCTTTGCCTGCCTCCCTCTCTTTCCTGGAATCCTTTTGACCCACTAGTGGGAAGAGCACAGAGCGGCAAGAAGTCTAAGCCCCCAGATAGTTATAGTGACTGATTTCCAGGATCTTTAGCAAAGGCTGCTGAAAGAGTATGCAAGTGAGTTGCCACCTCACAGATCCCAGCCCTGTCTCTCTGAGAGGGGTGTGGGTGGGTGTATCTATTTGTCTACCTCTGTCTCCAACTGATCTTCTAGTCAAGAATTTGTTTCTGTTATCTGAGAGAAGAAAAAAGTAAAGCCTCAAAATCTGGGGTAGGGGAAAGAATTTCATCCATTCTAGCACCAAAAGAAATCTTATAGGAAATCACAGATGAAGAAGCTTCCAGCATTAGCAGGGAATATGAGGCTCCCACAAGTTGATGGCGGATTCTTCAGTAGGAATAAATTTTTGTAGTAGAGAAACGGCTTGGGTGAGAACTAAACTCTGCAGGTTTAATAGGCTAAACACCTGTATTTGCGGACTACACAACCCTTTCTGTTGCTCTCTAATCTCCTCATTCTCATCCAATATCAATGGATTTTTAAACACACTTCCAGTCTGTTTTAGGTCCCTTTGGACCTCAATGGATGCAAATGCTAAACTGAATTAAACTCTGGATTCATTGCTTGGAACTCTATGCAGGCATCACATCCAAAATGCTAACTATGTTAGATGTATCCTGGGAAACATCCACTGGCCTTTGCATACATTCTTTCTACTATGTGGTATGCTCTGGTGATAAAATATTATACTGGTTTTTAAAACCTCCTTTATTAATTTTATGTACAACTGACAACCTACCTGCTCTCCTAGCCAGTCTTCCTGACCTTGTAGGCCTGTTGCTGTTGTCTGAGAGAATAATAAAAGCATTCACCATAGATAATTCCTTTGTTTGTCAAGCTAGGACCACCCCTGGATGGGTGGAAAGGATGCCTCTCTAGCCCACATCAGTGGATGATCTTATTGAGGCCTTGTTCTCAATTTGTCTTAAAAATTGTTAAGTCAAAAACTTCTCCACTGCCTGAAACTGTAACATGGGCTCTCTCTTCTTTCTCTCCATTAAAACACTCCTAGGGAATTTTTAAAGTTTTTGTGGTTTTGGCTTACACAGGTGGGTATAACTCTCATGACATCTTGGCACAGAGGGTGTAAATTTCATGGAGTTTATATTGCCTGCATCTCAAAACAGATGTGCCCCCCCCCAAAGTCTTTGCTTGAAGTGGTAATGTACATATTGTAAGATCTGTCAAAGGGCTGCGGCCTTTTTCACACCTGAGGTTATCACATTTAGAACAAGGATATTGTAGACTGATGAGTGTGACCGCTCAAGCGGTTGGTGGTTGGAGTCCTCCAAGATGGCAAAAATTAAATTGATTATGCAAATCAGTTGCAGCCCCTGAGGCTACCATTTTATCCTCACTTCCTCCTCCTGAGTTGTGCCAGACTCTCATTTGAGGTACTGTCCAGCTCCAATGGCGCGTGAATCTGTGTCCCAGGGGTGAGGATTATGGGTGAAATTTTGGCTCGGCTAAAAAATCAATAGGTGTTTTGTAATTGGCTTGGATGGAACCAGAATTTTAACTCATGGCTCCTTCCTCCTGAAGGGCTTCGCATATTTATATCTGCAGTGAAGAGGAGAAAAAGCGACCCATTCGGCTGCTAAGATGATGCTGGAAATGGTGCCTTGCCTTGCCCAGACAAACAAAAGCTATCCGGAAGGAGACGCAGTGGGCTTCCCTTCACCGTTTATTTGTTGAGCAAGCGAAGAAAGAGAAGGCTCCTGGCGGAGACAGAAACAAAGAAATTCAGCCTCGTCTGTGTTTTCCTTCCTGCCTTGCCTAGGCTACCCCACAGGCCATCTGTCAAGTTGTTCTGGGCTGTGGGAAAAAGTTCTGTCCCACAAAACAGTGCAAGGGGCTATCCCGTTAAGTTCTTTCTCCGGCCTCCTTGCGGTAAGAAGTTCTTAGGCACTGACAGATCTCCGCTTCAGGCTCTCACCAAAGTTTCCTCAGGACTTTGGGATCCTGGCAGAATCAAGCCCCATCAACTCCTGGTCCTTCACGTGCAGAGGAAGACCAGGTTGGAGCTTGAGGTGAAGGCGAGAGTCACTTTCTGTAGTGAGGCAGCCTGGAACTAGCTACGCTCGAATATCCAAAGCGATTGTGGATTTGGAATCTCTACCAGACAGCATCCTACAGGCGGTGTTGTGGCCTATGCAGATGTTGCAGGTGATTGCGGTGTGCTGCTGTTGTTGCTTTCTCTGCGCTTTCTTTTATTTGTAAGCCGCCTTGACAGGTCACTTTTGGAATACACGATTACAAACAAAGTTAACATCAACCGAAAGGAAAAATCAACAGGACAAGCACTTCAGTCACCAGCACCTTTCTCGTGAAGGAAGTGGCACTGAGTTCATTTCACCCCATTTCTCTTTAGCACTTGGATGGCGACGGGCTATTCAATCCAAGTGCTGTAGCTTAACAGCAACTGACGTGGAGAGGACGGAGGGAAAACGAGGCGATGGGAGCTAGTCCGCAGGGAGGTTTTTAAGCGGCTTGGCAGAGTCTCCGTTTTTTCACAGTTTTTAGGCCTAAAAAGAGGAAGCTCTCCCCACTCCCTCTTTTTAGCCCAGACTCGAGGTAAAGCGTTAGAAAATAAAACCAGCTCTTACAGCCAGAGCCCAGCCACGTTTCATCCGAAGGAATTCTCACTGGTTTCAGTGAGGCTTACTTACTCCCAAGTAAGTGTGTATATAATTCCTGCTTTTTAAATGATCCCACAAACCCTCTTTCTTCTACACACACACACACACGCACGCACACACTCATCGATCACTCACTGAATTTCCTTGGGAAGAGTTCAGGACCTGAATGACACGTCCCGGTTTCTCAGCCGCTTGTCCCCAGACTTCATGTTTTTGTTTTAGGCTGAAAAATCTCCCGTGACTCCCTTTTCACCCTACGTCCCAAAAGTACGGTTTTGATCCCTCCTTGTTTCAGATTTTGGGACGGTTGTCCGGGATTTCGAGACAGGTGGGGGCCTTTAATCCGCCCTCTAACCCCGTGACCTCCTTCCCTTAAGGAGCTTTTCCCCTCCATGTCCCTTCCTATTGAAAGTCTCATTCACAAATAAAAGCAATTTCCTTTTGGAACTATAATCACGACATGGGGAAATGCCTCCCCCCTCGCTATTTTTTTTAAAAAAATAATCGAGGGTGCGCGGCGGTTCTCTTCTTCTAGCGTTTAGTTTCAGGGAGGCTTGTTTGTTTAGACACTTTCCTTAACAGAAGGGAACTTGAAAAGTTTTAATTAAAAAAAAAAAAAGGTGGGCCGGGCTAGGCTGGGAAGAACGGGGAGAGGGGCACGGATGGTTGAGGCTTTCCATTGACAGCTACGGAGTGCTGCGTCTCAGACAGACAAGATAAATACTTCCTGAAGAACCTCGAGGACAAAGATTTTTTTTTTTAATGAAAATAAAAGCGAATAACCGCAGAGAACTATCTGCTGAGAAACGTGCAATAGAAGGTAATATGCCATAATGAATGTGAGAGATCACATCACGGAGACTCTTGCAAGATGCCCAGAACGAATCCAGCCAAGTAGCACACAATGTGTTTCTATACCTGCAGGCTGCTATCCTACACAGGCTCATTAGCAGATAAGGAGCTGCGGCGAGGCTTCAGAACTTTCCTGGGCATCCGGCCGCGTCGATATTTGGCTACTCAGTTTGCTGAAATCCCTGCACGATCAACGTGTGGTTTATCCCCTTTGGTCAGTTTAGACTCTCCTTCTCAGCTTTTCTTCTACATCCGTTACATGGGACGAACCTAAGTACTAAGTCCCATAGGGTATCCGATCAGGCCAATTATTTGATGAGTTTGAAAAGTAGGGTGAATTAGGATTAAGGCTGAAATCCTATACACACTTTACTGGGAGTAAGTCTCAATCGACCCAATGGATAGAGATGCATAGTATTGTGCTGCACACGTGTGAAAACAAAAGCGAAGTATCCCAAAACAACTTTGTGAGTTGGTAACCTTGTTTGCATCGTCTGTCTCTGGAGACAATGGAAGAGTGCACCTTCGGTGGTGAAATCAAACCGTTGGAGAGTTACAGCGCCTGCTGTGGTTGTAGAGCCCGTTAAAGGGAGAGACATGTTTTGTTGCAGCTGGGGCAGGTGAAGGCGTCCGGTTGTGCTGCTGCATACATCCAACATTATACCCTCTGTAGGAAATGTTATCTGCTGCTAAGACCGCGTAGGCAGGACATAATATGCATGTATATGCAAGTGTGTGGTGGGTATTTTAAAGATTTATACGCTGCCATTCAACAATTGAAGTAGCATTACAAAAATTAGCTGAAAATGACAGCAAAGCAGGGTAATCATAAAAAACATACAACCAATGAAACTAAGCATTATCCTATTCTTCAGGATGAAGTCCCAGTGTAGGACTTACTTACGAGAAAAACATGTTTTAGGATCTTACTACTGTGCAACCGAAATTCTAAAAAGAGTTGATGCATGAATAGGATTGTACTGTTAAAAAAAAAAAGTACAAGGAGGAAGAGCTAATGCTGATCTACCCAACTCCAAGTCATTGTTGCAAGCAAGCCCGCTAGCGGTCTGCAAGTGCATACAGCGAAGAGGCTACGGGTGCAAGCTACTTACTCTACATCATTCCCAAATATAGGGTTACAGACAGCAGCCATAAGATTTATTTTGTGGACAGGGCGGCAAATATGGCATCGCCGGATATAGAGGATGAGGAAGGAAGTCTCGTTGCTTTCAGGGAAATTTACTTCCCATCATTGCCTATTCAGAAATAATCCTCAGTGGGTTCAATGGGACTTATTTCCAGGTGATGTGTGTCGGATTGAAACCTAAGTATATTAAAAATAAATAAATTAAAATTGCTTGACTTCTGCAGTCGCCCCATATTGCGGATTTTCCTCGCGACAAAATAAGATTTGGGAGGGAAAGGGGTGTTATACTTCTTTGGAGGAGTCTAAGAGTGCAGGCGCGCCCTTTACGCAGTAGCCGAGAGCTCCACCCACTCTAGGAATGGCCTGTGGGGGGGGGAGAGCTGAATTGGGGGGAGGGCAGGCTTATCCTATGTCAGCGCAAAAAGTGGTGGCTTGTAGCACTGTCTTTTGGCTATGGAGTAGCCAGCAGTTTATGCCAAGTCGCCAATCCGCCCCCGCCCCCCGATTAATGTGAAAACGTACACAAGATGCGCCCCCTCTGAAGGGAGGAGTGCAACCTTTTCATTGCAACCTGGCTTTGAAGTCGCCCCCTCCCCACGTCTATCCCAGGCGAGCGGAACTGGCAGGTCTTGAATGAACCCTGCTTTGAAAGCGAGAAGAGATTGCGGCGAAGCACCGGACCAGATCCAGGCAGTGATCTCACTGCTTTCTCTGATCTGTGAGCTGGCAAAAAAGGAGGAGGGGGTGCTGTGGTTCATTCACAAAAAAGTGTTGGAAGGAAGAGGATAGTCCTCCTATAGCGTGGGAGGGGGGGCAGCCTCGAAGGTAGCCCTGAACCCGGCAGAATCGCCTGTGACGCTGCGCCATGAATATTGCATTAGATGCCTCTACATATAGGCAAATGCCAAGCCCTCCTCTGCAAAACTTCCCCCGCCAATGGCTGTCCTTCTTCGGGAGAGAAATAGCGATGCTGCCCGAAGAGCCTCTCCTCCCCTTCGCCTTCCCGCGAGCTGCTTCTATCAATGAAAGCTGTTTGCACGTGGACTGGCTCAACGCGCCCATCCGCGCCGAGCTACTGCGGCTTCCAGCTCGCAAAGCAGCGGATCCGCTGAAGTTGAGTCAGGCGGACCGGCAAAACCAAAAGATATAAGAAGCAGGAAAGCAAACGTGTTGCATTTAGGCCGAGTTCAAAATACACAACACGAACCGCAGCCCAATTAAGACAAAATCAATACGATGTGAAATAACTCCAATACTGGTGTTGTAATTTCGTCGAGTTATGGATCGGCTTAGAAAAGCCGTTCGCTTCAAAAAAATCTCTTAAAATACTGCTATAAAAAAGAGGGGTTATCTGTACCCAAACTTTACCTACTTATAGTGTTTTTATCGATCTTATGTTGACAATTATATAAAAAGCAATGAAGTATCTTATTTTCTTTGGAGGAAAATCCATCAACCCGACCCGCATCTCATTTATATCAGTCTCCCCTTGATTAAACTGGAAGATTATGGCTTAAATACATTGTGGATCGCAGCTCTAGACCGTCTTTGTTTGCTTCCTTGTTTTTAAGTTACCGACTTTTTTCTTGCTTGGAAAATAAATAGTTTTGTATTTCCCATGATTAACACTCAGGTCCTGAGAATACTTACTTTAGATATTTAATTCATTCATTCGCAGTAGCCAAAGCAAAAGAATAATATATGTGAATATTGTTAATTTAAATATATTAACAATTATTTAAGTTTTGGAACGACATTCATTCACTTTAACGGGCTGCATTTTCTACATATGGACAGCAAAAATTAACAAGAATATTGCAGGATCAAAACTCCATGCGATCCTATACAACTCGATCCTATACAAAGACTGGGAAGCAAAAAATTCATTTGTGTTGAATGAAACATCTTGGTTTTTTTCCAAGCGTCTGCTCAGGTCATATGATAATAAATGGAAACGAAACCTGCCCAAATTTGAGACGATTGTCTGTAATGTGTGGGAGGGGCATATTGGATAAGAGATAGAATTGTGAGTTTTTGAGGAGCACTCTGATAATTCTTAACACACCTTCTGTACCAAAGTATTCTATATGAATTCCAGATTTTTGGGTGGTGTGGGGGGTCTAACGACTAAGCATGGGGAGGAGAATAATACTCCAGGGAAAGACCGGTTATTGAGGATCGAATTGAGACTTTCCCATCCTAAACAAATTCCATGGAAGTAAAGAAATGCTCCCGGGCATCAGAGTATAGGAAAATGTTTTACGACAGACTGATGGACAACAAACTTAGCTGAAGCAAACCTCAGGGCAACCAGTGGGCCTGTGGGGATATGTTTAGGATTGCAGGTTTAAATGATAGGCAAGCATGGTTCCCTTTGTAAAACTACCGTTGGCTGCAATCCTTTAATGTACCCTGCCTGGAAGTTAGTCGCACCAAACTCAGGGCTAATTTTATCGCTGCAGACTTGCACAGGATCCGGCTGCGCGGTTCATTGGTGCTGAAAAGGATGCAGAAATGGAAACACCAAGCAAGGTGGATGTTGTCATTTCCAGGCGTGAGGATTTAGCGCTATTGGGTTTTTTATTGTTGTTAGTTTTGCTATCTTCCCTCGCCGTCAAATATCCCCCACAAAAAAGATATTTGGGAAAGTTTGTATCTGTTTGAAAGCTTGCAGCCCCATTCACTATCCTTTGAAACTACGTATAGCGCTTGGATATTAACCACAAGCACTCCAATCCTAAGCATGTTTCTTTGGAAGCAAGCCCCCTTGTGTTGAATAGGGTTAATTTCCGAAATTAGCATTGGGGTGGGTTAGTATCCCTGACTGCAATAGAGCTCTAAGGGCTTAAACCCAGGTCCTCCTGAACCCCGGTCTGCCCTAAATGTGCGCTTTTCAAGCGAAGTCGGGGGGTTCGTGTAGCAAGCAATAGCGCCCTATCCTAAAGTCGTTTCATGGGACTTTGATTCTGCCCTTAGGATCGCAGGTTGGATGGATTTGGAAATCCAGCTGGGTTCTTCAGTGGCAGGTTCTTATCGAAGCCTGGCAGGGTCGAGTAACTTCTTCAGAAACAAGACCAGTTGGGCCGCCACCCCAGTAAAGCGAAGTAAGGGGCAATGTTTCCCTACAGAGAGATTAGACCCATTCCCTGAGGTGAGTGCTACCCAGCACCTTGCGAGGCAGGGAGAGGTCTGCCTCTCGGGTTCCGTGGCACTAATGGACCGTAGTTTGCGTTCTCTGTAGTACGTCAAATACAATCTATTTGGGTTTTACTTAAAAAAATAAATTAATTAACGTGTGGAAAATCACTTCGAATTTTTATACCAGTTGTGGCTGCATTGACATCTCTAAAAAGCTGCCAGAATCTAGTTCTCATCTGAGCTGTTAGAATTGCGGCGGATCTAATGAAACCGAGGTGCGAATTCGAATTTTCCATTCCAAAACATGCCCAAAATATTCTTTCTATATGTTATGCATATCTTATGAGATGGAAACTAGAAAAATTTGCGAATGAAAGGACTGATCGTGTTACTGTGCAGTGTGTCTACTGAGAAGTCGCACCCATTGAATTAAATTGGATTTATTCCCACATAAGAGGTTTGCAGCCTAGGAGTGAGTGAGCCCCGTTCAAGTCACTAGGGCTTACTTCTGAGTAGACAGGGTTAAACTTCTACTGTAAATCGAGTTGCAAGTGCACAAACCCTGGCTAGAATCCCACCCCCCGCCCCCACGGTCTTAAACAGCTGGAAAGTAATGTTTGGAAGACCATAAAAGTTGATTATCTGGTGTGGCAGTTGGAACAGAAATCAGGCCGTTAATGAGAGCAAGGACTGCTTCTGTCTCCCAGTAACTACCGAGGTGTAAATCCAAAGGAGTTTAAGGGAATTAGCTACATTTGTGGGAAGTCCAGGACGAGATTCCTTTTCCTTTTCCAAGACTCTGTTAATACTCCAGCTGGTATAGAATTGCTCGACTCTACCGTCACAACAGAAACTGTTTTGTCTATAAGGATTAGTTCTTCTAAACCCTAGGAAAAACACACGAAACTTTATGCAAGACCCTTAAAAATGACGAGCAGGGCGCTGGGAGGATACAGAGTAAAGAGCTTGTGCGAAAGAAGCAAGTTTTGCGCATATTTTAAGATTTCTCTCGCTCTTTTAGGTCTTCGACTAGAAAAGTAACAAAAGAAAAAAGAAATGCAAGTTCCCAAGACTTAAACCAGTCTTCTGCTGTAAATATACTTTAAAAGACAGACGAAATTATTATCACGATTGGAACAATATGATTTGGTTAAGTTAAAAGAAACATAATAGTGTTTCTTTCTTTCGTATTTCGCTCGAAAGCAATGGTTTTTCTTTCATGTATTAAAGGTAATGCGTTACAGTGTTTTACTGAACAGGCTCCGTTCTAGCAGTGTTTATGTTCAGGCGAAACTTAATAGTATTTTGGGGGGGGGGGACAGAGTTGCCCCATATTTGAATTCTGTATCGACTGCTAATGTAAAGTCAGATTATATCCAGTGCACAAAGTTTATCTCTCACTTCTCCAAGAAGGATCACTATGAAATTATTTTTAATATAGCCACCTTGTTCCACAGAGGCATGTGCCCTTTGAAGATGAATGTGCAATTATATATGTTACCCTTGAACAATTACGTCACACAATATATACTTTAAGATAAGCAAATAATCTCGGATAGTTCTCATTTTATAAGGAATTTTTTTTGCTAGAGATGTATGCATATAGACCGAAAGTCTGAGAAGTTGATAAGAACTTCAGGAAGAGGATAGATAGCTAGATAGTTAGCTCGATAGCTAGAGAGCTAGATAGCCAGATAGAAAATTTGATGGACGGAGAGAGAGTTTAATTTGTGTGGGAGACAAGGTTACATAGAACAACGTATCAGAAGCTATTGATAGAAATAGCAAGGGATAACGTATTTTGGAGCAAATATAGTTTTCTTCCTTGTTTTATGCCGCAGCCTGAAGCTGATTCAAGACTTTATCTGTATTGAAATATGTTCCCCATTTCCTATTTCTCTCTCCCCACAGCCACGGTTTGGAATGACCACGTTTCTCTTCCTCATGCGGAGGAAGAATCTAGTGTCCCTAGATGTCTCTGTCCTTCATATCCCCTGTATGCCTTGGGTCAGCAGGAAATCGTAAATATGCTTTGTCACCCCCAAAACGCATTTTGTACATTATCTGTGTTAATAGGGAATTTGCTGTTAATAGCCTTTCGCTACACACTCACACACTGTACATACACACGCGCACACAAGCGCGCACATCGGAAGTCCAAGAGCCACTTCTCCTATTCCGAAGAGAATCCTAAAATACTGTAAAAGTGAGCGCAGCTGACTAAGGACATATAAAAATAATCTCTGTGTACCTTTACGGGCCAATTCAATCTTATACACCTAGAACCGGCTGGATGTGGATCATCAAACTTGGAAGGATGGACTGAGAGAAGAAGCAATATCATGCATGTTTGGCACACGTAGAGAAGTACCCTGACCCCCTAGTAGCTGGGGATTACTTCTCAATTAAAAGTTATTTGCGGAAGGAACACCTGGTCAGACTTCTCCTAAGGTGGATCACTTTTTGAAATGCTGCATTGTCTTGCTAAGACAGTTCCGATTTACCTGAATGAGAACGCTGTTTTACCCTAAATTATATTGTATCCTATGGCACTTGTTGTGCTGTCTTATATTTCCAACCAGTGGAATTGAATCCCAGGTAATGCGTTTAAGATCAAGATGCATTTGCTTCTTTTGTTTTTGTTTAATGTTTTATTGCATTCTAGTTCCGAATGTTATTGCTGTGTTCTATACTTGTAAGCCGCTTTGAGTATATGACCGTAGAGAAAGGTGAGTTACAAAGCTGAAAAATGAACGCATGGATGGTCTGAAACATCTGATTTACAAATAAAGACCACTGGTATTTTTATGACGTTTTCAGACGAAGGTACTATTTAGGATGAAGTTGTCAAGTAAAGGGGCCTAATTTATTTGTGGACCGGGCTGCTGGACTACACATGCCTACTCAGAAGTAACTCTTATTGAATTCAATGAGGATTACTCATAGGTAAGTATAGGAATGCAGCCTCCCTCTCTCTCTCTCTCTCTCTCTCTCTCTCGTGTGTGTGTGTGT